CTGAAGGCTTCTGTGGAAACGAGAGAAATTCCTGCTAAGCAGTGCAACAGCAGGAACTCCTTCCACACTTGATAGGTCTCACCAAGGTGTGACATCAATAGGAAAGGAACTAGTAAAAGAAACGAGATTGCAAAATGCCATCCCTAAGCCGAACAGCGCCAGTAGCGCTTTATACCGCGTCTATCGCGCAACTATGATCCCTGAATGATTACGGCAGAATGTCAGGTGGCTAGATGAGAACTCTCCTCCCTAAAAGCTCGAAAGACACAACATTACACACTTTGAGAAAAAATTTGGCACTATATACCCCTTCACTGCCCCAACCATCCAGAACTGAGCCAGTTTTTGACCGACTTTTTTCTCCGTGGACAGATTTGGCTCAAATGTTGTCTCCTGGGGTAGTTTGACCTCCTGAATACGAATATCACATTCGCTTAGCCCGAAACTTCCTGGCGCCCGCGCCACAGGCGCCGGTGATTTGGGTATTTTGGCGCCAGCGCCTGTAGCGCGGGCGCCAGGAGGTTTCGGGCCGAGCGGATGTGATATTCATGTTCAGGAGGTCAAACTACCCCAGGAACAAATTTTCAGCCAATTCTGCCAACGCAGAAAAAGTCGGTCAAAAACTGGCCTTTTTTGGAAGGCTGGGGCAGTAAAGGGTAAATATTGCCGAAAATTTATTTTTCACATCTATTCCGTTTCCTTCTCGTTGCTGTTTTGGATGCTTTCCGATCCTCGGGGAGAGATGCTCCATGTCTTGTTTTCAGATCGCTGCAGCTATTCAGAAGAAGAGACGAGATGACGAACTTGAACAGGAGCGGGCTCAACAAAGAGCTATAAGGGTAAGAACTACATGTGATAGGTTTAGAATATTGTGCAAATGCAAATATTGCTCAGGACGGCAAAAGAATCTGCGCATCGATTGCGAAAATGGTTCGCGAGTTTTGGATGACCGTGGACAAGGTCGTTGAACACCGAGCACAGGTAATTTCTGCTCAGCATCAAATCAATATCTGTTCCACGTTCTGATCCTTTCCGTTTTCAGGAAATTCTGGAGTCAAAGAAACGAAAGGCATTGGATGCTCACATGGCGTTCATCGTAGGAGAAGCGGATAAGCTGAGCTCTATAGTACAAGAGGGATTGACGCAGGATAGGGCCTCTAAAACGCCATCTGTCAACTCTCGTGATGAGGATAATGGTACATATTATCCATTCTGTATTAGCATCCATTAGCTATAGCTCCACTCGAATTGACGTTAAGATGACGATTTCTGTGCGAGTGAGTCTGAATCAGATGATGAAGTAACTATTGAGCGGGAGGAGGCAGCTATGCAAGAGCATGACATTGAAGATGTCAAACAGGAGATTTCAGCTCTAAGCAGAGATGCTGATCAGGATATGGACGACTTCTTAGCCTCGGTAAGATTTCATGAAAGGCAGTTAGTTATCTCTTGTGCTCTGAATAATCATTCTAAGGAATGGAGTTCAGTAGATCCGAGGCGCAGCATCGCGCGCCATCTAGCTACTTTTTTTTCTGGACATTTGACTCGACTTGGCCTTTTGGGATGTAGCTTTGGTCATGGCGGCCTGCGTCCAGTGCTGTTTATTTCATGGCTTCGAAGAAATTTGGCAATAGATGAATTTTGGGGATCGCTGTAGTTGAGTTAACTACTCAACGAGTGCAAGCGGGTAAAGGAGTTTTCTCTGAATAACACCCTTACATTGGGTGATCGTAGGAAGTAGATATAGAAAAAACGAATGATGAAGATGAGAATTCGCGGGAAACAACGCTATTTGAATTCGGAGCGATTCACGAAATTACTTGTAATTAATAGAACGTGGTCGTTCCAAACACTATTGAGGGTGTATGAGACTAATCAGCCCCCCAAGCTCCATATTCGTTCCCCCCCGCCCAAACATGCCCGGAGTGAGATACAGGGGCCGTGAATACGCTAGTTCTCATGCTCGCCTTACACCTTTTTGCGGGCCGCAGTTGCCCTCCTTTCATAACATCTTTGCGCGCGCGTCGCGTGCGGCTCCTTGGCACTTTGCCAAGTCCTTTAATTGCGCTCTCAAATACGAGTAAAACGCAATTTCCTGATGCGGATAACATTGGAGGTGCTACAAAATAAGAACAGAAGATGATGACAAGGGCCATCGGAACTTCGACAGCGCAATAGTTTCGGCTGCATCTCCGTCAAAGACCCTCAGAGTGCACGCGCATTCCCAGAAAAACACTCGCATCATAAGAACAATCTCAACGCGTCTTCCATCGTTTTATCTTCTAAGCTTCAGTATCGCTTTCGCGCCAGATAGTGTCGCACCCGAGCAATCGGTAGAAAATTCCCAAGCGACTTTCCAAACTAATTCTGCCTTTCCTTGATTTTTTGTGTTCGTTATTATTTACATTAACATCGTTCTGCCTTCATTCCTACCATGTGTCTCTTCATCCCATGTACATGCATTTTGATAGTTTGATGCTATGCACAGTCACTGAAATTTTGATTCGCATTCAGCAAACTTGGCGGGTTTGCGGTCTGCATCGAACAACAACGAGTTATTTCATTTGGTGTTTGGCGTGGATAGACGCAGCCTCCGAGGGGAGTGTTGCCAATATGAGTGGGCAGAGTTTCGTTTGATTCTGACCTCTTCGTCATCATCGGTCTGTGCTTATTTTGGCGGTCTTCCGTCCAAGTATTTATCCGCTCAGGAAAATTGCGTGTCATTACTTGTATTTTGAAAGGTCAATTAAAGCGACTTGGGCGAGTAGTTCTAGGGAGCCGCGCGCGAGCGAGCTGCGTGGGTGGGGGGGGCGCATGCATAGGGCATTTTATTATGGGACGGAATCTGCGCCGCAATTAAATTTTGGGTGGTGAAGGCGGCAGCAGTGTGACATAGCGGTGTGTTTGACGGTACCTGTTAGTCTCCGATGGTGTCTGGCATGTTGGGGCGTTTGTGGGCACCACCGAGGACATCGAGCAACTGGGGGGGGGCGCGTGAAGTTCGCATACACCTCAATGTGTGTGTGAGAGCGTAGCTGAAGTTGTCTTTTTAACCCTTATTTTTCCGGTTTTGCTCTTTCGCTGTCATTCGGCTGACTCGGGTCCTTCCATGACCGCAAATATACAAGCAATCCTTGTCTTTGCATCTTTATGAATTGGGGTATATAAGGAAACCTCCTTTTGAAAAAGCCCTCTCAGCAGTCCCTATTGCTGCATGCTGTCTCCACGCGTTCTGTACTTGTGAGCAGCCCGTGTTCTCGTTAGTATATCGGGCGGTCCGGGCCGTGGTGGGGGCCGGCGGCGGCGAGTGGGGGCTGGGGGTTCAGCTTTACCGACGTGATCCGGAGGCGGGGCTCTGTTTTCACGATTTCGCAGCAGGACCCACCACAAAAGCTTCACGTACCACTGCCTGACCCACTGGGAGTTTGTTATTAGTGAAGAACCAACGAATGAAGGGTGATCGGAAAGAGTAAATGACTTGACACCCAACTCAAGTGGAGAAATAGCGGAATTGTTTCATTCGTTCGCAAATTCTCTTCCCCTATTCTTCGCTTCTGCAGCTCAGCGCTTTCTCTAGTCACGACTTACACGGTAGAAGGCGTAGGCAGCCATTACAGGGACCAAAAAAGTTCTGCAATTTTCGATTAGCTCGGTAGCATAAAAGATACGTTCGAAAAAGAAATCAGCCCAGACTAAAAGTCTGGAGCTTCATCTAATTCCCAATGACCGTATACAACAAAGTCCGCAACAAGTGTTCAAAAAATGCCCTTCATAGCTCAAACATTTACTAGTGTTTCCAAAGTGTCCGACAGTGGTCGCGCATTCTTCTGCTAGTTTGGTCCCAACACGCAGCAACGCCACTTTCAGGTGGTAAACCGTTGCGCATCGAATTCCTGAGATTTTTCGACCCAGATGGAATAATCCATGGGGTTCGGACCATGCTAGTTGGGAGCCAACTCTTGCCCCAAAATCGAGAAACCGAAGTGCTACGACACCCATGGCTTCAGTACATCGCGGAGAACGCGTTGTTGGGAGTAGACAGCATTAATCTTTACGATGCGCTCGTGAAGAAACGAGAGGTCTTTCCGGTGGCACAGATCCCGCCTCAGACCGTGACTGAGGCTGGAAAGAGTCTGCGTCCGACGATTCCACAGCCGTTGCCTCCTTTCTGAGACAACAACAAGGTCCGGTAGTTGTGATCGAAAAAAAAATTTTTTGTTCTTGTCGGTGGCGAGCACATTCTTCAAGCAACAAGCACCGACAGAAGGCGTCTTCAAGACGCAGCCCCCGCGATAAAAGTGGCTCGTGGTCGCCTTTGCTGTGCAAGTAGTCTAGCCTCCAAGCTAGAAGACTGTTCACCTTTCGCGACTCTATTGTGAGCGTGGAGGCTGCTATAGCGTCAAAATGCTAGTTCTAACTCCTCCTCAGTCGGACCGCCTTTACTTGCTAGATGTCCTCCGACGGAGGCCACTCACTTGTTCTTAGTTGGGCGGCGGCATTGCTAATGCCCCTGGATAATTCTGCTCTCCTTCATTACAGTTTACTCATTGGAGGTATACATTCAATTCAACCCATTTCGCGAGGTGAAACGCGTAAAAAACACGAGTGACGCAATTTTCGTGATGCAAAACCACGACGCACAAAAGGTGCGCTACCGTAATCACAAATTCAGACACCGTGTTGATAAAATTCCTTTTTCCTTCCCAGAGTTTTTCCTCTGCGTTTTTGTTTTCTTTTTGTATTCTTTCTTTTGCACTGGATGATATCAACTATGAGGATGTAAGAGAATTTGGAGCTAGGGGCTGCAGCAGAGATCCGCAGCGAGTATAACTGTTAGGAGCATATTTGTTATGTGTTCTTGGAAAAACGCTTCTTGCCACTTCTTCTTGGAGATTACTTTATCCGTGGCCTGTTTTCATAATTGGGAAGCAGCTACCATGAGAGACTTTATCGCGGGAGATTGGGTTTCAACAACTGCAACTTTTTGATTTTTTCGAGACAGTGCGAGGAGAAATCGAAAGTGATTGGATAGATGACTCGTACGGTAGTTCGAAATGGCTTGCGGAATACAAATAACCCATCGGAGAGAAAACAGACCATAATGGCCATTCAAAAACGCACAAACACGAATTGCCAGAACTTTTTGTACACGCCTGTACACGTCGATCACAATCCACAGTTGCTGGATGAGTTGCGGCGAGAACAGCTATATTGCTGCATTTTTTTGTTGGCCAATCTCCAGCAGTTGCTTATAGACTGGCAGTTTCATCTCTATGTTTTTTTTCATTCAGTTGCCGCCGGAGTATCTGGCTTCGCTTGGTCTACAGTTGCCATCAAACTCCGCGGACTCCACTGAATCACCCGCAGATTCTGAAGGAGAAGATGACAGTAGGACCGCAAAGCAAAAAGAACGTCCCTCTAAGGCAGAGGTTGACGATTTTATCATTCCACTGTTTGAGTTCTGTTATCAAACTGATATTGTTGTTAGACACGAAGAGCAAGTGACGACGGCATCGAAGGAGTCGCTGCGAAACGTCCAAAACTTGAAGAAGCGTCCGACGAAGATAGCAACAGCGGCAGTAAAGACACTGCATCAGTACAGGTACAAGAGGTGGAGAAAGCGGTTGAAGAAGACGAAATGAGCGTTGACGAAGAGGATACCGACCGGTTACAGGACCAAAATCCAGATATGGTCTGTTCTTTTGTACAGTGTTCATTCTGGGTAGCTGAACTTTTCCTCAATCTTACATGTTCTAGGAAGGTAATGGTGATGGTCGTGGTATGCTGGAAAGCGTTGATTATTCGAAGCTGAATAGCGTGAACAGTGATGAACGCCAACAAGAGCTAGCCAATATCGCGGAAGCTGCGTTGAAGTTCCAGCCGAAAGGTCATACCTTGGAAACTACTCAGGTAAAACGGACTACTTCCAAGCAATTTCCTGCAGGCGATTTTTTCACTCAGTAGTTTACCACCGCACCTTCTGTGCATGTTGCCATTTTCGGTCTGTGAGAGGTCGTAGGGGTTTTACACTGACTTAGTACAGTAATCTCATTTGCTAGTATGGAACATGGTTTCAAGCAGACGTGGCTGCTGCTCAAAAACATGTTCCTGGACCGATAGTTTGATAGGGAGTGACAGCGGTTTCGCGGGCGATAGGTGCTAATTTCTTATTTACAGGTCAAAACAGCAGTGCCTTTTCTAATCAGAGGAACCTTACGCGAATATCAAATGGTCGGATTGGATTGGCTGGTGACGCTATATGAAAAGAACTTGAACGGAATTCTCGCCGATGAAATGGGTTTGTGGACACATAGGCAATGTTGCTAGGTGCTAATAAGCTTGGGACGGGAGAAGGTTTTCGAAGGATTCCCTGTGCAAAACTAAAGTACCATAATGTAGATTATTAACTTCTGCTCTAAGCCTGACTGACGGAGCTCTCGGGTGGATGAATCAGTTCGAAGTGAAGGATATCTCTTGCTGTGACCTGCGTAGAGTCCTTTATATGTCTTCCCCCAACCTCAAGGATATTGGCGCCTATTTCTAATTATAGGGACTACTTGGTAACTCTAACACGTTGTTTCATAGGTTTGGGAAAAACAATACAAACTATTGCTTTATTGGCCCATCTCGCCTGCTGTGAATCGATTTGGGGACCACATCTCATAATTGTGCCGACGTCGGTTATTCTTAATTGGGAAATGGAACTGAAGAAATGGTGCCCAGCGTTCAAAATATTAACATATTTTGGTACGCAGAAGGATCGAGTCGAAAAGCGACGGGTACGTGTTTTTTCTATCTTGGAAAGGTTCTCAGAATTTTTGCAATGACATAATCGCTGTGGCTTCGGAGTTGAGTGGCTATTGTTGGCAGATGTTTTTGGGAGCCTAGTAAATCTGTCCTTTCAGGGGTGGTCAAAACCGAACGCATTTCATGTGTGCATCACCTCCTATAAGACCGTCACTACTGATATTCGTGCATTCAAAATGAAGGTATATTTTTGCAACTATATTTTATGCTGAGGAACTGATGGCCCATCATACTTAGGCATGGCAATACCTAATACTGGACGAAGCGCAGAACATAAAGAATTTCAAAAGTCAGCGATGGCAAGCACTTCTGAATGTAAGGGCGAGAAGGCGTCTACTTCTTACTGGTGAGCCTTTTCATTCCTGTTTTGTTCGAAGATTTTCCCAATAAGGTCAAATTGTAGGTACTCCTCTTCAAAACTCATTAATGGAGCTTTGGTCGTTGATGCATTTTTTGATGCCAGCGATTTTTGCTAGTCATGATGATTTCAAAGATTGGTTCAGTAATCCTCTAACCGGAATGATGGACGGAAGCGTAGAGTTTAATGCTCCGCTAGTTCAGCAATTGCACAAGGTGAGATAATGTTCACTTCTGCTCTACTTACTACTCTATTACTGCTCTATTTTTTCTAAAGGTAAGGCTATATTTGTATTGGATCTTCACAGAGACTGATTTAGAAAAGTTCCCCTTGGTTTTGTCCTTTTTCCTTTGACTGTTCAGATAATTCACCATCCGAAAACGAAATTCACTCGATCTGGCTGGCGTTCGCGCCATAGGTGTCAGTGCCGAATTTCTTTAAGTCCCAAATTTGCTGAAAGCCCGTCTTCACCCTGTAAACATGAATATCACGCCCGCATAGCGCAAAAGCATTTGGCGCATGCGCTTTGGATGCCTGTGATAAAACAAGCAGGTGCCAGAGCCTGCATTCCAGACAGCAGGCGTTTCCGTGTTGGGCGGATGTGATGCACATTTGCAATGGTGAGAACCACTTCCGGAGTGAAATTTCTGGCCGAATCTCATCACATAGATTGTAGATAGATTTCGGGGAAAATCTAGTGGGATTTCAAAAAGGTAGAGCAGTAAGGGGTGAAACTGCAGTGCTACAACTTCTGTTGTGGTGCTTGTCTTGTATTTATCGCTGACATTTTGTCAAGTAATCTTGAAGTTTAGGTTCTACGTCCCTTTATACTGAGGAGGCTAAAGAGCGAAGTGGAAAAGCAACTGCCGAAAAAGACGGAGCACGTCATTAAATGCCCCCTATCGAAGCGTCAGCGATACCTCTACGATGACTTCATGAGCCGGCGATCGTAAGTTTTCAGGAAATATTTGTAGCTATCCTGTGGATCTTTGGCGCTACTATAGTTGAGGTGGGCCGCATGTTGGCGCTGCTGAATTTGTTTTATCCCAACGCTCAACGTTGAGAGGGGACTAGAGTATACTTGCGACCCCGTTGCAGGTTGTAGAGAAGCAAACTTCGCCCCCTGTCCCCTCCTTCATTTCGTGGCCCTTTATTTATAGTGGTGCCGGATTTTCCTTTCTCTCTACGGCTATTTTTTATACCAATGCACAAACCAATAATTTTAGAACTCGCGAAAATTTGAAAAGCGGTAACATGCTCTCTGTTCTCAATATTGTCATGCAGTTACGAAAGGTACGTACATTTTAGATTTCTTATTTTTTTATGCGATTCTAACTTGACTGTGAAAGTGCAGTGATTAAGGACATAGGTAAATATGAATTATTTTCGCGAAATCTGGGGCGGTGCTTCTTATAAGGCCTACTATATGTGGTGGTAGTGTAGATGGCGAAGATGCAGAAATCGCCTTGCGAAAGAATCCATACTGAATCTGAATTTGCAGTGTTGTAACCATCCTAATCTGTTCGAACAACGGTCTGTCCAGTCGCCGATGTGCCTACACCATCTCCGACTTAACATACCAGGACTTGTCGTAGATCTCGATGAAAAGGTGTTTGGTCGTGACCTCCCGGAGTTTTTCGATTTACGGAAACGGTTTACAGGAGTTGGCACTTCGACTGTAAGTTCCTACCTGTTCTAGTCTTTGTGCTTTTTTAAGTGTTTTTCGTGTCCTAATTCCACCTCTTATTTTCCTGGCAAAGTAACAGCAAAGTTTGTAAACTGCTTCGGAATTGCTTGTATTCAGGTTGGTAGAGCACCTTTAGTCAAGGAACTGGCTGAATCGAGCGATGCTCGTCCGCCCATCGTTCCCGGATTTCGACTCCATAGACCTATTTCAAATGGAGCGGTATGGTATTGTTCGATTTGGCATTTGTAGACAATATTCGGAAGCGTTCAGTGGGTGGGCGGAGCTAGGAGACGTGTCCTTTTAGTTCTCCTATGGTTCTCTTCATTGTCCTAGGTGGAGGAGGGAATGATGCGCCAATAACGTTGTGGTGTAGCTCCGCCCAACCAACAGTCGCAAACTGTGTTTTTTATTCGAGTTTTTTTTTGTTACTCTTACGACTTCGTCTTGTTTAGAATATCCCTAGCGCTGCACATTCGTCAGAAATAGCGTCTGTTGTAGACGTTAGCGCTGCAGAATTGCAGCGAGCTGGCTTTGCTCAAAATGAGATGGTGCTTGTTGTTCGTGATGGTGAAGACATCGAGAGTTTGCTGGGTAGCAATGCTGGTCGGTTCTTGTCGACTTTGATTGAGCACCAATTCCAAAACTATGCTCAGATTTTTTTCAGGGGCTCCCATTCCTATGCGAGTAAGGGTGAATGATGGGCGTTTAGTGCTTGACGCGGACGGCTTGAAGCAGAACGGCGCTGGCGCCAAGCTTTGTCAGGTACTTCAATATAGAGTTTGAAAATTTACTCGTTTTGTTGTTTATCTTTCTGTGACTTCTCACTTAGAGTTAATTAGGCATTTTTGTGAAATTCGCTCAGTTTAACCTCTGGAAATGTACGGTTGTTAAGGTTGTAACGGGTGCAAATGGTGAGAAGACTTTGCGGGAAGTGTCGAATCGGCTAGGGGACCATCCAGCTGGAGGAAATGCTCCTGTTCCTGTATCGCAAGTGGCTAATCCAGCTCCAGCTGCAATTGCAGCAATGCCAGGAGGAGCAGCATCGACGGCTGTTGTAGCATCGACGGCAAATGTTGTCAAGCCAGAACGACTACCTTATGGGCAAACTCCCAAAAATGATTCAGTCCCCGTACATGTTAGTCTTCAAATCTTTCAGATAAGTAGTAAATTTGCAATCAGTTGGTATTGTCGTTGTTTTCAGCATTTACTTCGTTGTACCACAGTTGTCTCCAAAGTAGCCCCTCTGACGGTGTCGACGGCTACAACTGGTTTCCACTATACGATGCAGAATGGTGGTGTCCGTGAATGTAATGAAATGGGTGAATCCATCATGGATCTGTCTGCGTCACTCAGTCCTCCCTTGAAGAGACGCCGTCTTCTGTTGCCACGCAAGGAGGCTGTCACGGGAGAATTCGCAGATCTTGTACCGGTTCGTTACCCACTCGTAATCACTTGTTTGCAGAGCGGCTGTTCGGCTTGGGGGGAGGGAGAGTGCACTCATGTTAGTTATTTCAAGTCTCACCCCTGTGAGACATGTAGGCTTCTGTCGGAGTGTAAAGAAGCTTATTGTTGAATGCCATTAGCTTTAAGTGTTAACAGGTTTCCGCATATCATCGACAGAGTTTCATGGGTACCAGTAAAATGCCCCCTGCGAAACTGCACTGTGCTCACAGAGCTAGTAGAATTAGGTTTATTGCATCTCGAAATGATTTCAAGGTGGAAGTAGTGCAACGTATGGAGGAAAATAGCCGATTGAGACTGCAACGTATTGTGGAACGATTCGAATGTCAGCAGCGCCCTTTTTATTCTCAACAACTGATCTCTTTACTTAGGAAGTCAGCTGCAGCAGAGGTGAGAATATTTCTTTTTAGTTTGTAACTCTACAAACGAGAAAAATTTTGTTTTAAACTGTCCCTTTTTAGTATGGGTTCGAAGAAGATGAGAGGAGGGCACCAAAGACTGCAGAATGTTCTGCTTCTTTTGATGTACGGGAGTCTCTCAACGAATGGATTGGCGAGGTCATGGATCGGTGCGTTACGTAGTATAAATAATTTATATTTTTTTAAATATTTCAAATTCACATCGTTTTTTGTTACTCTTATGCGGAGGTAAAGTAGTGGCAAGTAATACCGCTTGCCACGTACGGTCGGCGTCAAACCCTGGTCGAGTCCCCTTCCAGGCCAATCAATAAGGGGAAGGAATAGCATCTTCTCAGAAAAGAAGAGTTGTTCAGGGATAGAAAGGCTTCCATCTCCCAGCGTTGGTTTTATGTGTTTCCATTAGAAAAAAAGGTTGCTCTATTCATGTGGGTATTCGTGAAAATGCGTACGGTAGTGTCTTGTATGCTGTGGAGCCTGCGGCATATCAGGCGGGGGGGGGGGGGGGCTGCGGCACCACGCGGTTTCCAGCAGTTGCGGTCGCCTATGAACTTACTTTGCTGGTAGAGAGAGAGAGAGAGAGAGAGGGAGAGAGAGAGAGAGAGAGAGAGAGTTGATGTTCTACCGAACCCGGCCGCCCTAATGCGCTTCAGCGTCCGCTGTACTAGAGTTTTTCGTTTAGTCACAGGCACTGCGCAGTGCTACGCAGCGCTTCTTGGTTCCATTAGTGGTTGGCGCTGACAGTGAAGATCATCCTGTATTTAAGCTTGATGGCTGCCTAAAATGGGTGGGCAGTGCATATTAGTGGACATAGTTGCATAGGTTTTTATCATATTGCTGCTTTCAGATTCTGGATCTGGGTCAATCCAGCTGTTACGGATGCCCCAGAGTTACAAACATCGTCATCAGGTCGTGGATATAACGTCCGCATCGCAGAAGAACGGATTGCTGAGAAATCTCGTGATTTGTTCTCTTCAGTCCATCCTTTGACGCACAAATCACTCGTTGCATCGCAATTGCATTTCCCGGAACTTCGCCTCATTGAGTATGACTGTGGTTCGTTTCTTTTTTGCTTTTCTTCTCATTTTTCTTCCTTTCTGTCATGATACACGAACATATTGACATTTGTTCAGGTAAACTGCAGGCATTGGCGCGACTTCTTCGCCGCCTTTATGCTCTCAAGCATCGCTGTCTGATCTTCACTCAGATGTCCCGTATGTTGGACGTCTTGCAAGCTTTCCTTTCATATCACGGGTATCAGTATTTTAGACTAGATGGCAC